GTGTGGAATCCAACTTCTTAAAAGTACCTTTGAGGGCACCTTATCAAATTAGTGAACACTTCTCTGCTTTATTTGATTCAAACTTCTGTGACTTTTGGTCCCAGAGACTTCGCCCTCCTCTCTGCTTCTCCCCTGGGCCCAGTGAAACCACTCCCTCTTGTGATTTGCCCCACCATGCAAAATCCTTCCCAGAATCTTTTTGCAGACTTTTTTTCACTCAGCTTTTAAAGAATTTCATCCTAGGACTTCTCTTTCTTCCTGAATGAGGTGTCAACACCCACAGCTTCAATTATCACCTAATTGAATTATTTCCTCCAAATCTCCAAGTCAAACATATCTCAGAAGCTCAAAGACCCACATATTTCCTTATTCAACACTTAATGAGCACCCACTATGCATGAATCCCAGTGACTACTCATTGTCACCACTGGGATGTCCTATGGGTACTTCTCTGTGTCCAAAACATATTATGAGAAACTTTCTTCCAGAAGGGCAATTGAATCTGTATTTCCTAGCTTGATAAGTGGTCCCATAATCCACTTGGTCACCCAAGCCATAAACCGAGGATTTATTTGAAATGTCTCTTTCTACTTTACTATGCACCCTTAACCCCCATTCAACTTCTGTGCCCACATCCAGTTAGTCAGAAAATCCTGAAAGTTATACCCTCTGAAAATCTCAGATCTGTGCTTTCTTTTTTAGCCCCTTGGCCTCTGTCTTAGTTTAGGCCTTCATCACCCTGACTCATTTTAATCTCTAATATATTCTCCATACCTGCCAACATCAGATAATCTTGATGCAAATTTCACCATTAATTTCCTTCCCTGGAGCACTTCTCGGTTCCAAAGCACCTTCAGAATTAAGGTCAACTCCTTAGCTTGGCCATAGTATCTTTCTGCACCTGGTCCTTGCCCTCTCTCCTACCACTGGGTACTCCATTCTGAGTCCATACTAAATAACTTGCTGTCTCCCAGAGACATCACACCCTTTCCTACCTCTGTACCTAAGCATATCTACTTGAGGAGTCCTTTATCTTCCCTCTGCACCAGCATTCCTCTCTTAAATGGCAGGGCTGCCTACTGGATAAGCATGTGAACTTAGGGGCTGAGAAAACCTGATGTCCAGTCCTGAACAAGTTGCTTTTCCTTTTACAGCCTCAATTTTGTCATTAGAGTTGTTTTGAGAATCAAATCAGGTATTTGTTGACCAAATGGTTGGATTACATATTCACTTAGTGCCTACTACCTGCCAGGCCCTGTTCTAGGAACTGCAGATCTAGCAGTGAACAAAACAGTTGAAGTCCCTGCTCTAAGGAATCTTACATTCTGTCTGGCACGTAGGAGGTGAACAAAAAAGTTATAATTATTATTCACGAGGCTTAGGTAATAGCTCTTTGGGGTAACTGCCAGACCTACTTGCCAGTTTCCATTCTGAATTAGGTGCTCATCTTCTATGGTCCCATATCACCCTCTGTGGTACAATTATTACAGTATTATGTTGTATCATAATTAGCAATATTTTTGTCTTAATCGACGACGAGCTCCTCAAGGACAGAGCCTGGGACTTTTCTCCTTCTTTGCCAGCTTCCAGTACACAAGAAATCCAGTTATAGGTGTAAAGTGAATGAATGAGCATTTTAGGATATACCTAACATTGTTAAAAAATAATATATACCAGTGAAGAGCATTTGCTATATGCCAGACACTGTGTTAACTGTTTAAATATATTATGTAACTTAACCTTCACAGCAACACTATAAAACCAGTATTATTACACTGACTTCATAGATGAGGAATCCAAATCTTAAAAATGCAAAATAACTTGCTAGAGTCAAGCAGGAGGTGAAACCTAGTCGGGCACTCAGGTCTGCCTGACTCCAGAGCCCCAACTTTACTCTTGGTGCTTGATGAAAGGAGTCATTTCTCCATGGGGCAGTGGGAGATGTAGCACAAGGTCTGCATATACTTTATTATAGGTATAGCTATATACACAAGGCAAAACTTGAATCCACAGTGGATGTACACAGGCATTTTAGCTTAGTTATATATTTTTTCTATACCAATATGTGCAATTCTACTTACCCTGTTGAGGGGTGGGGAAACAGAAATGGTTTTAAAGTCACCAGTTCACAGTTTTAGTACCTCTTCCAGTTTAGACTATCTTTTAATAGCTCCATCTCTTGGGTGAATGTTTAGCCTTTTGATACCCTTCCCTCTCCCTAGTTCCTCTGCCTAACTATACCAGGCCAGTGGTTTTAGACTTGACTGTTCTGGGGCTGCACCTGTTTGAGGAGGGAGGTGTTAGGGAGATGCTCCCTAAGGAGGGTCTTTTCCTGGAGTCGCAAATGGGAAATGAGACAAGAGAAAGTCCCTTAGGCTGAGAACAAAGCCACTACCTCTCTAAAGGCTCCCTTTGGGAACCTGAAGATGGGAGATCCTGCTTTTTCCTACTTTCATCCCCTTCTTTCCACACTCAGTTGGGGCTGGAAAGGATAGACTCCTCCCTTCCTCCTCCTGCCTGTTCTCTCTCCCTGCATCCCAGCACCCTCCTTCCCAAAGTGCAATTTGCCCTCCCCTTCTCCCTAGGGCTCAACTGGGGGAATGGCAGCCAGATCACCTGACTTTTGAGAAGAGGAATGAAAATACAGCTGTTTAATATTTTCAAATGATTGCTCCTGTTACCCCTGCATCTTAGAGGGTAATCACAGGTCTCGAGCTCTCGGGGTCCCTTTATAGTAATGTGGCTCGGAGCAGTCCTAGAGGAAGATTTACAAGGGTTCTCAGATACCTCCTTCGATTGACTTACTACCCTTCCCCTTTTAGTCCATCAACTCAAATTCTTGGCCATAGTCTCCTCCTTCACAGGCAGCCTAGAAACAATGGGAGTATTTGCTCCATAAAATTAGTTGATATAATCAATGAGCCATGCATTCAAATTCTGATAAACTTAGTCCTTATAACACCAGTGATGTCTAATCTATTAGTTAAATATAGGACTATGGAAAAGTCAGCTATAATAAAGAACGCAAAATGAGAAGGTGTGCTCTGAAAACATTAAATACTTGATTTGTAGACTGTGCCTTTCAGCTTCAGACTGTCACTAAAGAAAGGGGAAGCTTTTGTGAAAGGGAACAAATTAGTAAGGAAATTGACAACCGTGGGTCCAGTTACAGAAATAGTAAGAGGAAACAGATCTTTGTAGCAATGACAACACTCTCAAGCCCCTTATAGCTTATTGTGCTAGGTGAGGCTTGGTGTGTCTCTCTTTTACTTAGATATATCTGTGTACCTTGTAAGTCTTGGGTCAGAATTGGATCTTTATTATAAAAGAAAAAATTCTCATATAAGCTAAGATATGAAAAAATCAACATGTATACTGTTAATTCACTGGAGTCAAGCCAGAGGTGGAACCTAGTCAGGGACCCAAGTCAGCCTGACTCCAGAGCATAAAATAAAATTATTAAAATGTAGGCCAAAAAGAGAATGTAAAATGGGGATGGTGATGTTGTAAACCATATGATTCTAATTCTAGTAGCTTGATGCCAGAAATAACTTATTACCAGGGAGATATGCTGGAGAATTGTCAGGAATGACAAAGTTTTTACTTTTTAAAAAATCTGTATCACAAAATGATAAAGCTGATGAACCATATGGTGACGTGAACAGGTGAGGCAAATGCTAGTACTTTCTGCTACATATATTTATGCTCGTTTTTACACCCCAGTTCTTCTTTCCTTCCCACCCTAGAAAAGGTCAGAGACCACTTTTGATAACCAGAGAATCCTTCAAACTCTCTTCTCCCTGGAGCAAAGCACTGGACACATCTGGGGTCTGTTCAGAGTTTATCATCTAATCCATAGACTTTGCACAGTACTAGCAAATCTATTCACAGCTATCTTTTCACAGTGGTCATGTTGAGAGTGTACATAAAGTACTTGATTCTTTCCTTGATCTACCATATTTACAAGCTCACATTAAATATAGATCACTGCTGTCTAGTCACATTGATAAAAGCGTGTCATTTTGAAGTTCCAGTTCACTGCTTTGTAGCTGCGTGACCTTGAACTGGTTACTTAATCTCATTAGTTTATTTTATGTTTAAAATAGAGGTAACAATAATAGTACCTTTCTCATAGCCAGTGTATTTGAAAACTGCATTACAATGATGTAGAACAGCCTGAGCTGTTGAGAGCTTCCAGATACTAAATTGGCTGTTCACTTGTTTGATTCAAATGGAAATAAAATAAATGACAAGGAGTTAATGATCTGCATCAGGAGGCAGTGTAAGGATGTGAATTAGGGGGTCTTGGATAACTATGATGTTCTAAAATGGTGGTTATCTTTTTTACAAAAACCCTCTTTGGGGATTCTTTTGTGCAAAAAAATGCCTTACTGTGCTGTCTTTAACCTTCGCATTGTTAATGTAAAGGCTGCATTGCCGAGAAGGAGATACAGCTGCTTCTCAGGGTTTCAGGTCTGGGGCTTATTTGGGGGAGGAGGTTGCGTCTGTTTGGAGAATGGGGGAGGAAGGCGCAAATTCTAAGCTTTAGTCTGATACATCTTCTAGAAGCAGGTCACCAGGTCTTAGGTTTTTCTGAAACCGGACCGAGTTTCATTTCAAGGGCTTAAGAAGTTGGTGTTGAAGGAGTTAAAGGGCCCCCCACACCCTCTGCCTGAATCGCTCTTTTGTGTACACAGCTGCAGTGGAGCGCGGGTCGGAAAGGAAATGGTTAGAGGAAGAGCCGGGTCTGAGGCGCGGCGAGTGTGGAGGGGGCAGGCGGTGGCCCGGCGTTTACGCGCCAGATGTAGGCCTGCCCGGTGCCTGCCTGCAGCCGCCGGCGCGGTCACGCCACGGCCCTGTGCGAATTGAGGCGAGGTGATGAGTTAGCGGGTTGCTATGGTGACGGGCCGGGCCACGTGACCCGGGTGCTGCTGCCGGCGCTTTGACGTCAGCAGCCGGGAGGGCGGGACGCAGGAGGGCGGGGCGGGAGCCTGAGCGGGGCGAAGGGAGCTCGCGAGCGGACGGCAGGCAAGGTCTGCGCGAGGAGCAGGCGAGCGGGAAGGCACGGCAGCCACCTTCCTCACCAGCCAGCCCACGAGCGGTTTGTGCCCTTCCCCGGGAGTGCGCCAATGCCTGGTCCGACCCAAACCCTGTCCCCAAATGGCGAGAACAACAACGACATCATCCAGGATAACGGGACCATCATTCCTTTCCGGAAGCACACGGTGCGCGGGGAGCGTTCCTACAGGTAATGGGGCTGCCCCGCGGCGGAGCGGGTGGGGACCTCGGCGGGCGCGGAAATCCGGCCCGTTATATAATGAAGCCGCCGCTGCCCGGGACCGGGCTGCAGACGTGCGTTCGTGAAGGCGGTTGTGCTCCTCAGCTCTCCGTCACCATGTGTCATGTTGGATATGCATGGAGGCTTCACGACTGCAGATGGAAAGCATTTTGTGAATAGGTTTGCCGCCTGCGAGAGGTCTCCCTCCATCTCTTTGCTTCCACATTGATAAAAATGCAAGCAGCTTTTCGCCCGCTCTCCAAAGGGAGACAGGCTGTAGCACTTCCTCTCCTCCTTCCCCTTTAGATTTTAAAGGAACCATTAGGTAGGCTGTGCCCAAAGGCAGAGGACAGGGGGATGGCGAGGAAAATGTTTGCGCTCGCCCTGGTGTGTGTGCAGGAAAGATGGAATCCTCCAGATGAAGCTGCAGTCTGTGATGTTAAACCGCCAGATTGATGGAGCTTTGTAAGAATTCTGCTCGCTGATTGGTGCAAGGATTGACAGCAGAGGTCATGGTGTCAGGCATTCACCAAAATTTTCTTCATAGAACCCAAGGTTTATTAGAAAGAGACTGGCCTGCAAGGGACCTGAAAAAAACTGGGTGCCGTTATGCATTTTCTTAGGAGTTGAGGGCCTCCGCATGGGTGGAGGAGCCCGCCCTTTTTATTTACAGTAGGAAGGTAATTCCTGGTATTTTGCTGAGGTCTGATTTGAGCATGGGGCTGATCTTGGTCATTGTATTGTAAGTCTTTTGATTAATGAGTCGGCCCGTGTGGTTGGCATCATTTGTACATTAGCATATCTGGCAATATGTTCTAGTAGATAAGCTCATTAAAATTGTTTGCATTGTTTGATAAGGATAACAATGTAATGGAGAATGCAGCTAGAGCCTAATGCAGCTCAAGGCCAGACTTGAAGGGAGACTGATATCTTCACTCATATTTCCTCTGAAGTTCTTTTGTACTGGGGTAGTTATTTTTAAATGTTACCTTGATAACCACTAACAATGCTTTTGCTTTGAAGCTGAGCACACATACCTCTAAAGTGCATCCTCTCAGCTAGTGAGCAACAGGAAATAACTCTTTTTTTTTTTTTTTAATGCCTTCATCTAAACATTCAGATAGTATTATGGGAAGAATCTTATGTGTGTGTAAATGTTTATAAAATTATAAAATAGGACCCAAAGTACCCCACTTCCTCTGTCTTTGACCAAAGAAACACTATTTGCTGACTTTTTGCCCTGTCATCTCTGGTAGTTATATAAATACTTGGAGTTAAATTTGGCCGTGCCCAAGAAGTCACCAAAATCTCATGCCTTATGGTTCCAACTAATATGTTGTTGACATGGCATCCTTACAGATTCCAAGTGCTTGTCATTTTCTTCATGAAAACCAAAATTGGTGCACAACTTCTGGGATTCTCCTTTTGGTGACCCAAGCTTATGATTGGAAAGTTGGGTCCCTCTGTCCCTTCTCCACCTTTTTCTGTGAACGTTCCAAGGCCTAAAATAGAATTAAAAACAAGAACCCTGAGTCGCTTTTAATCCTCAGTTATTTAAAGTGTCCTTATAGGTAATACTTGAAGCCCTCACTTATTGAATGATTTCATCTCTGCCATTTAGGTAGCAGTTGCTTTTAAGACAGAGTTCGAATTTTACCATGCGGGCCAAAGGATATGGCCTAGTTGGGTTTTATTAGTCATATGAACTTGCTTGAAATGTCAGTGGAAAATTACTTGGTGGAAAGGTTAAATGCGAATTTTGGTGATAAATTATTGCTTTAAAATAAAATTTTATTTACCTTTTTAATCCCATCCAAGTTATTTCCATCTCCTGAATTATTCCCAGTTTGCTTTCTGAGTCTCTATAATGGTATCTGAAATTACGTGAAAAAACTGAATTGGAATGAAGATCTGCCTGAACAAATTCTTAAGTCACTATGGGCATCATTGCATTTTTATTTTACGTAATAGGATTATTGGGCACTATAGTGAGAGATGTCATAGGTTTAATGAAGAAGCCTCCCAAATTGCGTATGTACTGTATTATATAAAGGGTGCACACAGGGATAGACATGCTTGATGCTATCCTCGATCTGCTTTTCTTCCAAAGTGGATGACCAGTGTCTCATAACTACCACTTATTTTTCTGTAGGGATGTAGGGGAAGGAAAAATGCAACACATTTTTCTATCCAGGATCTGCTTTATAATTATTTTGGCATCCTGAGGCTGGAATAATATTGCCATTTAATTGCTGAGAAAACTTGAAAAGCAGTTTGAAAGCCAGAGTAGCGGTGTAACCAAAGAAGTTTTGCTTTGGCTATAGGTTCATTATAGCCCTCACCAATGGGAAATGCTGGAGAGTTCTGTTTGAGCCCCATGGAAGGCCCAGAGCCCTGGGATGTCAGAGAAAATTCCTTGTCCTTTTACTGACTTCTAGGTAGGGCCCCCAGCGGGTCCTTTATATTTTTGGAGATACCTATTTGTTCATTACCTATATCTCACTGCATTCTGGTTAAGTTTTTGTGAGGTTAACTACAAAACGTTTAAAACAAAGACTTTCTTAAAAGAAAAGAGCTATGTAAATATAAGAAGAATGTTGTGATTGCTGAAAGAACTCTTAGGAGCTCTAGGCCAAACAGCCCTTACCTGGCAGGTAGCACAGCTGAGAGGAGGAAACAGCTAGATAGACAGTGCTGAGGAAGCAGTCACTCTTCCCAGCAGGAGACGTGATTGCCATAACATTTGCACCAGATTGTTTATAAATAAGGGTCAAATATGGTTCATGACCCAGATATCTTAACCCAGGTATCTCTTAGTGTAAACAGAGCCCATTTTTCCAGCCTGGACTAGAGTGGGTAGTAAATCATTATTGAAACCTGTGTGCACTTTGGTTAGAAGAACAAGTTTCCTTTAGAAAATTACCCCTCCATTAATCATTTCAGTTGAAAAGAGCAAGTGCAAAAATGGCTCAGCAGAGCCATGTGGACATGATTCCACAGCTCATGTCCACTACCATGTGATGGCCTCCTCAGTCTCAGCTTCCTCATTGCATTTATGAGCACTAGAAATCCATATGTGTTAAGAGCCGCTTAAAATATAAATGCAGCGTGAGCCATTTGAGGTGACACTGTTTAATTCACAGAGTGAGTGAGTCCTGCTCTGGCTGTCCCTGGGGAGGCTACTCCCTATAGCTGTTTCATGCAGATGCTAGTAGGAAATGAGATTTATTAACTGGATCTCTGCCCACCGCATCTTTGTTTGCATGCTCCAGGCTTTTAAGAATGAACGTATAAGTCCAGAGGACTATTTCCACATGGGTGTTTGAACATGCAACTACAGTAGTGTATGTTTCTGAATACTTTAAAAAAAAATTAGTTGGCTCCAGGAAGTGGACTGTAAAAAAAAAAGAAAAGCAAAATAAAAACTTAAGCCTAAAACATTGGCTCTGACATCCAACTTTGCCAACTTTGAAAATGAACTCTTGTTAAGAAAAACAAAAAGAAAAATTATGCATGTGTGCATATGTATGTAAAAAAATAGTCATGAAAGCATGTTCCATTTAATAGAAGCTATTATAACATGGCTCACTTTAATCAGAATGTAGATTTCAGATCATACTCCCCAAAACAGCAGCTGCAGACATTAAAAATCTAGCCTCATGTGTTTCTGTTATGTATGCATCATCTGGGTTTACTACTGTCCTAGGACAGTAATAAAAAAATAGTGATTTTTGTCCTTAATATTTTTCTTAGTTTCTGTAAAATCAAAGGATTGCTTGATGCTTCGATTCTTAGGTGCCCAATATTTGAACTTCTTTTCAGGGTCCTTTTCAGAGCTTCCTTAAGGGTCCCCTTAGTGAGAGGCTCACCCCTCCTCACCAGCGCCTGTCACCAGTTGTATCTGTTTACAGTACATTATCTTAGTGGAACTGTGGTTTGAAATGGTCTTCTGAATTTAGATGGTTGTTTTCCATATGTGGTATTTTTTCTATATTTACAGGGACCTCTTGAAGCTACAATGAATAATCCCTTAGATTAATGGAGGGGGAAATATTGGGACTAATCTCAGTATTCTGTTTGGTTTGGAGAATTAATTTGACAAATATTTGAGAGTCTGCTCTGGGCAAGCTCTCTGCTGGATGCCCCTTCAAGGACCTTGAGTTCTAGCAAAGTCAGATGTGTGAGCAGCTCATTTTGTAACAGATATACCTTGTGAATATTTGACTTGGTCTGAAAGCAAAAGTGGTTTGCACTTCCTGAGCCCACAGTGACTCAAAGTAGAAAAAGATACTCTCAAGGCCAGTATACTATAAGAAGCTAAACAACACTGTGGGAGACCAAACATTTTGGTGAAAAGAGTGTAGGCTTTATAATCAGAATTTTGATTGGCCTGGCAAGGTGCACGTTGGGCAGTAGTGGAAAATAAGACAGGAGCATTGTAAGGCAGGCAGGGTGGTCAGAACTTGAAAATGGAAAGCCGTCGAAAGCTTACTAATCAAAAAACAGCATAATGTAAACAGAAGTGTGCAGGCGGAAATTGATGTCCTGTTTTGAAGTGAGAGTTAAAAGGAAACTAACAGTGTCCCACCCTGCAGGCTCCAGAAGTACTAGAGAATCCTTAATTCACCAGGAGAGAGCTCTCTGGAACCCACGTAGGGATCAGGACAAGGTAGATGTTCCCTGGCTCCAGGCATCTTTCCTGGAGTAGAAGCAATCACAGCTTCATCCCGTAACAGAACTGATACTTGGGTCAGACAGTGGCTTCAGAATTTGTAGAAGCCCATTTCATAGTTAGCAGCCTAACTTCAAGGGTAGCTAGTCTATACGCTCACACTATTCTAATCATCCCAAACTCAAAAGCAAGGTTTCTGGTACTTCATTGTGAAGGATCCTCCTGAGTCATTTAATACCATAAAATGTACAGACATGACTGATGAAACTGCTCAGGGCACTCCATGTGGCTCCAGTGC